CTGTATCTGTTTCTTCAGTCTTGAAGACTAGGATCCTTCAGATCTGAAGTGCCTGCTCTGGCTTGACAAACAGCCAGAGCTGGTAGATGTTTAGTGTAGGCAGATTAGAAAGACAAGTGAAAGGGTAAATAATTTTGGTGCTGTGGAGTACAGACTGTAGTTTGCAATAGATACAAGAGAGAAATATAAGCAAACTTTTCCTTGCAGTCACTGATGAGACTTCCAGTATGACTCCTTTTCTGCCATGTTACATTATCTACCATGCTAGAAACTTCAATAATTACTCTGCAGACACTTATGAACACCTACTTATCAAAACAAATGATGGGCATGAGGTGATTTCAAGTTAGGCAATGCTAAGACTGTCTCATGAAGGAAACAAACCAAAACACTGCTGCTTCTCTGGTAAAAAAATATTTCCATATTAAAACTGGAAAAGAAAACCTGGCTGAGCAATTTTTCAAGGGGAAAGGAAATGGTCCCTGGAAAGCAAATTTATTTCTGCAGAACCAAATTTTTCCGCTCCTGGAAGGATATTCCAAACGATCAGACTGGGAACCAATAGATCTGGTATCCCAACGGGAAATTCAAGTGCTCAAGATAGCAAGGATGTTTTCTACTCAAAATTCATGTCCACAGGAAATTCTCAGCTAGACGTTGTATAACCAGGCATAGAACCTTCCCATTATCAACTAAACCCTAGAATATTTCATAGATGCCTACCTCAGCAAAGTATCTCACAAAGCAACCACCACTATCACAGAGATGTATCAAGGTGGGGAAACACACCAGTCTGTAGAATTAACTCCCACTATCCTTGAGAATGTCTTGCCCACGTTTGAGTTTCGGTGAACTTTCCTTGTGGTGTGGTGTGACAGCTACTTCATGGATGCAAAATTGTGAATTAGCAGGAGACATTTTAACATACCTCATGAGACAGATAAAAGGCAGCAATTCCCAGTGGCCAGAAGCAGCAGAGCATGGAGAACACAGTGAGGCCAAGATGATCTCTTGGTGGCATCATCAGGAAATTGTCTTCACTTTCAGTGTCACTCGAGTAATCACTCTGGAATAGCGAGAGAGAGAGAAATGTAGAGGTGCTGGTTAATCATATTATTGTTTTTTATCTGCCATGGGCCAAGGCTCTGAACATCTGCCCATTTATCCTATTGCAGTGGCTAGCAGATATTCTCCTTAGGAAAACCAAGGGAATTTCCACTCACCCACTATGTCATAGATTCCATCACTACTGCATGAACTTGAAAGCAAGAAATGAGGAATGGCAAGATATTTCAGAAATCACGGCAGGGAGATGAAAAGGGCCCATGAAAGACAGGGATGGACCAGGTGAACCTGGATGACTTGGCACCTCAGAAACATAATGTCACATATCTGATGCAAAAGGAGTTGTAAGGGCTGGGTGCTCTGCATCTCCCACCTGATATGCCAGTCTTCTGATCAGGTGGCCAGGAGAATGTCAACCAGACATTACCCACTGGGGATGAGGTGACAAATGTGGTGCAAGCCTAAGCATAAGGAACCAAGGTGGTACAAGCTGAAACAGAAAAAAACATGAGTTGCTCCAGCAGCAATGGGATGCTGCCAGATTCACGGTGTGCAGGCAGAAGCACCTGCCCAAGCATGTTTCTCAGATGCCCCATGATCAAGCTGCAGCAATCTTGACCTCGCGAAAGTCTCTTTCATAGTGATTACTAGGACTGGTCCACAGGGGACCTGACTGCCCTGCTGCTGAGTGAGGACAGTTGTCCATCAGAGCAGGAGCAGAAGAGAGCCTGCTTTCTGGTGGCTTCATCCCTGCCCACAGGGAGTTCACATGCAGCAACAGGCACCAAGGCTGTGGTTTTTCCATGTTTTGGAGTTACAGTTTTGGTGCAAGGAGGATCCTGAAAAGCTTTTCAACACATCCTGAAAGCACCTCCAGCCTGACATGAGGTGGCCAAAAATATTTGCAAGAAAACTTTTTTGTAGCTGCATGTGCTTCACTGATTGTAGGAGAAATGCTGTGCAAAATCTCAGGAAGACAGAAAGGCATCTATGTCATATTTAGAAACTTACTGTTTTGCTCATGGGTTTTGTGTCCCTCTGAGAAACTTGGCAGCCTGTTCAAGAGCTTTTGGTCTTTGGGCCAAAACAGCTGCTGAGGTGATACTGCTCTATCAGTGGGCTCTAAGTGAGAAACTCCTGAACAGGCTGCTGAGTGTGCAAGTCAGGAAAAGGAAACCATGCACAAGAAAGTAAGTTTCCAAACATGCTATGAGTGAGCCATGACTGAGAAGGACCTAGGAAATGCTGGCAGTCCCATGCTACTTGAAAGACTTGGGAGGGAGCAAAGGGATTGTCCCCTTAGATGACCCATTTGGGAAACATGTCAGATGTCATGACCCATCATCATCTGTTAAAATGGAGAGTCTGTTTTGACACATATTGCTGTCAAGCACCTGCCACAGACTAGAGGGGCCTGTGAGGGATAGGTGGAGGGCTCAGACAGGTTCTCCACGCACTGAGATAGTGTGGTGCATGTGCATACCAGCACACAGTGTGGCCCAGTCTGTATCAGAAGTCTTGATACCTCATCAGAAGTGACAAATCACCATTTGATACAACCTCAATTAAATCCCACTCCTGAAGGGACACCTGCTGATGCTAGAACCCATGATGCTGGTGTTTGAACTGATGGCTTCTCTTTCTGCTTTAATCTTCAGAGCAGGCCATGCAAGTAATTTCAATACCTATATTATTTCCTTTCAAGAGTAATGGAAGAGAGGGAGAGGGAGAAAATCCACAGCATTGCTGAAACTATCCCTTGAAACAGTGCCTCCACCTAAACAGATGAGATATAAAATAAAAAATGCTTTTGATTTTCCAGTTCTTGGTTGAGTAGTGTGCTGGCATAGTATCTGTGGAGACTACCTGTCTGATACTTCAAGCTGCCTTTTCTTGCAGATGAAGATGAAATGGGGCAAAGATTCTCCAGATAATTTTGATCAAGTGCTGAACCAGAAAAGTACCAGTTATGCTTCTTTCCAAAGGGAGTAACCATTCTCAGAGTGGTGCATCACATATCAGAGAGCTTACACACCAACAGGAGATGTGACTGTTCGACTGATAGAGGATAATTGTGGAAGTTTTTTTAGTTATGATAACATGAAATGGTTATTGAACACTGGAACAGGCTGCCCAGGGAAGAGGTTGTCATCATCCCTGGAAGTATTTAAAAGTATGCAGATGTAGCACTTAGGGACATGCTTTAGTGATGGGCTTGGTAGCACTGGGTCAATGGTTGGACTAGATGACCTCAAAGGTCTTCTCCAATCTACAGGATTCCATGGTTCTATAAAAACCCATTAGGTTTATATAATGGGGAAGATTAAGTCACTATAGGCTCATACTAATTGAAGAATTACACTGTGTGTACTATGGAGACTTGGCCCATTTCAATGGGCCAAGTCCCCATAGTACATACTGGAACAGATGACCTGACCATCAATTACTAGGAGTGACAGAATAATTCTGATGACAAAGTCCTGACCATGTAGACCAGATACCAGAAGGATGGAGAAAAAAAAAGTCATAAATCACAGAAAGAAATCCAAAAGCAAAAGATACCTCTTAATCCTTCCAGCTAAACATTCCTTTCTCCAATCAAATCTTCCTTCCTAACATTATTTCTTACAACAGGATACCTGATCCTGAGCTTACTGAGAGATCTTTTCAGATACCTTTCTGACATTATGATAATTGATAATTTGGCTACCTAGCTGTCTGTCTTCACTTGTTTCTGGTTCTGTAAGAGCTGCATCCTTATGGACATTACTGGTGCTGAGAAGTCAGAATTACATTTACCACTAATAGTAGTTTTGCATTAGCAAACTAATCTTGCATAATCACTAATATTCTTGCCCACAGCGCTGTTCTCTTTATGTTTAACAGTCCCTTTATAAATTCACATGGAATTTTTTATAATTACAGCATAACATCACCGATCTGACTGAAAGCTTTTAAGTCTTGTATAAGTTAGAGAACAACATAACTACTTAATTATCAAGGTTTGGGTTGTGAGCAAGACTGCGCAGACAAACTTTATTTAATGTTAAGCTAGGTGAATTTAAGCAATCTGAAATAGCAAACTATCAAGCTTTTCCCTCTAAAGGTATACCACCAGTGCCTCTTCCAACCAAGCAATAAGCAATCAAAAGAGAACTTGCACAAGCATTAAAAAAAATACCTGACAAAGACCATTCCTTTCTTGGTTGAGTTATTCAGTTCATTACTAGAGCAAAGATCCATCACAGTTATGCTCCTAACAAATCCCAGTTATGCCAGGCTTTTTACTGAGCTGCTTAAAACACAGTTGAGTCATTCTCTTTGAATAGAGATCTTCTGTCTGTCAGACGATATCACTATCTTCATGATACTAGAAAAATCTTAGGAAGAAACAAGGCAAAATACATCCTGATGCATCTGCAATCACCTAAATGTCAAGAGTCAGGAGGATCACAGGGAGTCAAGGAACAGCTTAGCATTTGACAGTCTCTTTGGGATGTGGAGGGGTTCACCTCTTTTCAGGCATGACACCTGGCTCCAGCAGCTTTCACTGCAATAGCACAACCACTTCTAACCACAACAATGCACAGAGAGTATTTACAGAAGGCAGCACCTTTCTATGGCAAGTCAGGTGCTGACTTGGAGACATGTCTTTGCGCTTTAATTGAAAGGTTTACTCTCAGCAAGGTGCACAGTCCTTCCTCTGGCCAAGCGAGCTACACTCACTGCAGCCCGTGCAAGGTGCTGCTGTGAGAACAGATACCTGTGTCAATGGCTCTGTAGCAGAAATGACCCATCTCTGAAATTACTGAGCACACAGTGGGGGTTTCCTGCTTCCAGGGGATTTCTTGTAGCAAAAGCAGCTATTACAATGACAACAACCCTCCTCATCCCCACTGACAACTGTTGAGTGTTCCTTGCAAATACACTCGGAGTTCAGCTGAGAACACAGCACAGGATAATGCAACCTCAGTAGCCCCAGTTTATCCACAAATCTTTTTGTGGCTATTATAAGGAAGAGTTGACCTCAGGAGTGTAGGCAAGACTGGAGTTACCAGGAGATGAGGTCCCAGAGGACATCACCTCAGAGCATTAATTCCTGCAGAAAGCACACCACCTTGCTCAGATTAATGTAAATGACAAAGAAAACAAGTAGCTTTTTCCTTCCCTTCCCTTCCTTTCCCTTCCCTTTCCTGTCAACTCCTGTCCCAGCCCTCCTATTTATGCGTGATTTTCTATGGTGCATAATCACTGCAGCCCAATAATGTATTAGGCATGGGTGCTATGGGCAGGACAAACAAGATTTCTGCAGGAGCTGTGGATGTGACAAAAGATGAAGATGAGAAATTAACTTTCTTGGGAGAAGGGATGTGTCTACTTCCCAACCCTGGAGTGCATAGGATTTTGCAGCAGCTGGAATTTAGGTGCTAGGCAATTCAACAAGAAAATTTGACCTCTGTATTCAAGGAGGCTGCTTCTGAAGCTTCCCAAATGACCTGCACAAGTAAGCCTCAAACATCATCACAAAGCGGGCACCCTGGAGACTGAGAGAATGAAGCCAAAACATTGATAACCTTTAATCTATGAAATTCAACTAGCTGCTTGTGTTAATAATGCTTCCTCAGCAAGTAAGTGCAGAAGGGAGTGGAGAGAGAAGAGGATATTTAAGATGGGATATCAAATCATGTAGACAACCCATTCCTGAAAGGACTATGACTTGAGAGCAGGAATCACCTGGCAAAGTGCAAAGGCTCTCTGTACACAGAGCTGAATGCAGGGTATGCACTTTAGGCCATGTTTCATGAGGCAGTGACCTTGACAAGGACCACTTAGATCAGAGTGTTCAGTCAAGAGCAAGCTCAAAATAAACCTCCTCTACAATGCACCACGGGAGGAATAAACATGATCCACAGAGAGGGCAGGAAAGGAACAGTACTAAGGACAGATACATAATGGGTTCGGTTCTGGTACCACCATTTCCCAAGTTTGTTGTAGAAATCA